TAAGAGAATATATGTTATCGCAAATTCGAAGGCACAACATGTATATCATATCTGTTTCTATATACTGATGGGGAGGATCACATGCGTACGCAATTTATTGTTTGCAGGGAATAGTCAAGATCAAAATTAAAACAGCATGCTAGGACAAGTAATAGCAAAACCATGTCATATTCGACTGTCACCTTTATATGGTTACGAGTGTGGTGATATCTGAATAATTTCTGCACATTCTACTGAGACGCTGCCACTGAATACAATATTACACACACGCCGTTTGAACGTATGGGGATGGGAATCGCGACGCCAAACTCAGGCACGAACAAAATTTGACGTGCTTATCAACTAGTTGTATATCATACCGTTACATCTTCCTCTCTCCTCGTTGTACTTTCGTTTCCATTCACTTTTTCCATGGTTATACGTTCTGTATTCTATAGCCTTATTCTTAATTGTTGACGGTGCTAGTAGTGGCAAAGAGAATACATATATACAAGTATACATGTATGAATACTGTCTATGAATAGTCGTATTGCCCCGTCAACAGATTTTTGCCTCTGGCTCTGAAGCTCTGGATGCCTAGAAGTCAATGACAACATAACACAAGAGAAGAAAGAGACGACTCATCAGACGAGAGGTGAGAAAATAAAGAATTTCTGAATAGAAAATTTATTTGAAATACGTAAAATACCTTTTCAGAAAACGTACTGTTTTGTTTCCAGTTTTCTATTTATGGTCAGGGACCCGTATGTATGTGTATTGTGTAAATAGAATACCTAGACACAGACACAGACATCAGAAGTTTATTCCTACAAGCAAACTGTGTGTATACAAGTGTATGCAAGTGTATACAAACTTTACTGTCCCGTATCAGCATACTTCCAAACTAGCAGTGTACGACTGGTCACTCGTGCACATCACGGGAACAAGCATATTATTATATCTACATTAGCACGTGATATAACATTTCATAGCACTATGGCTTCAGTTATCCCCACATCCGGACCTGGGTCCCTCAAGTGCCCATACTATGCACCGTTTTTCGGTGCAATGGGTGCTGCCGCCGCAATGGTGTTCACAGGTATATATATTTCAAATTTATAGTAGTTTTGTATGTGCAGTAATTGTATATAGCCTTGGACTGGTTGCGATACTTCGTGATAGTAGCCGTGTGTTGCTCGCTCCAGCGCTAGTATATATATATTATAACTTCGCATCAACTCATCCAGCCGGTACGCATATGAATTTAGCAACCAGGATATGTGGTTTTGTCTCTTTTTTTTATCTTGCTGGCTTGCGAAATCAATTTCCAGTCTTAAATTTTGTCAAGCTATAACAGGATATAGCGTCGTTTTTAAATGTACTTCCGAGGTGGTGAATATCACTGTAGTGCCTTAGCATTAATAGCTACGAACGGAGGTCGCATAGAAGAATTATTTTCAAATCTGTTCTTTTGTTCTGTTCTATCACCTAGTGAGTGGATGTGTAGAAATACCACTTACAATTGACCACATATCTATTTAGACGCAGGTCATTGACAAGGATGAGTACTGCTCCTAGCTGTTTCTTAGTAATTTGATGAACAGACTAAGTACTGATCAGAGCAGCATTGTATCTATCACCCAAGCACCTGATATTCAGAACTATCCTGGACAAGCGTAGAACCGTTTGATTTCTCCATCGAATGTTTTTGTGTTCGTGTTTGCATCGTGTTTTCATGTGATACCAAGTATTGGAGGATCCGTCAGCCTGCTAACAGTTTACTGTGTGTTCCCCGTTGTGTTTGGTGTAATATAATATAGCTGCGGCGTGAGCGAACTTAACTTCCGCATTTCAATACTATTGTTGCGAGCGGGTCACTAGCTAGCATTAGGTAGTGTAGTACAATGTATCAACTTTATGGTAGTTAAGGATATGGTACTTTTTGATTTAATACTGGTTGCCAAGTTTATGCAGTTGGTCTTTTCTCATATGAGACATATCTTGTGGCTATCTTACGAGAAGTTTTAGCCAACATGGCTACGGTGGGAGGCCTTGGCTTGATGCACCTAAACAGTCGCACTCAACCAATGCACTAATTCCTTTCCTACACTTCCTTGAATGTGTACAGATTGTGTTGCCAAGTATGTTATGAAGCGCTTGTGGGTTTTATTTTTTTGGAGTACACGCTAGTACGTTTTATCCTAGGAGTACACTGAAACCTCGTCTGTGATTTGTCCGCTTAGTTGCGCGAGAAAATCAAGCGAACTATCATAGTTACGCTTAAGCTATTAAACAAGGCAACCAGGAAAGTGTTTTTGTATGCTTTCTTACCTCTCACTTCTGTCAAGCCTTTATATTTCCTATATTTCATAACATTCTTCGACGATTTATATTTCCCGTATTTCATAACGTTCTTCGACAATTGTGCCTGAAAACTATCGAACTTTATATATACTATTAATTTGGCAAATAGAAGCCTATTGTTGTTCATACATGGCCGATTTAAAGCTCTTATATATATTTATTATCGAACGCAAGACTGCTCGTAAATGCGTCTCCCGCGCGAACATAAATTTTCTGTCACTGTGTTCAAGGCCGCATATGCTTTAGGGTTTAGTTAGCGGTTAATGAGGAGCACTTAAATGTTATAGCATCGACTTGTCAAACACAAATGAGGTTGTTACATTCGGGGAAGCTCAAATTTTCATATGTTGTGGCATTGGACCATTGAAATCTGAGTTTCTTCGATATAGAATTCTAATACAAGAAAACTAAAATTCCTCGTCGCAGCGTTCGGCGCCGCCTACGGGACAGCAAAGTCGGGCACTGGCATTTGTTCGATGGCTGTTATCCGACCTGATCTTATTATGAAATCGATTGTACCTGTGGTTATGGCGGGTATTATCGGTATATACGGATTGGTGATTTCTGTACTGATTGGAAATTCGATGGCTGCGTCAAACTACCCGCTCTACGAAGGAATGCTCGACTTGGGATCCGGACTATGCGTTGGTCTATCAGGTAAGCTTGACCGATATTTTTTTCTATAGTCACGATAATAATTGGTGACTGCGAATATCGTAGGACTCTATCTGTATGAGATTCAGGGCGGCGAAGGCATAGTTTGTAGTCACCTACACTTTCTGTGGTGTACTTTCTGTCAGCTTTCCGGACATTGCGCCGACTGTTTGATGGCCTGCAACTGCGTCACTGCTTTTACTCTCGAGCAATCGTTCATGACTCAAATTTCTCGTAAGCTACATTTTAAGTAGTCTTTAGCAATCGGTGGCTATAATTGAGCGCATGTATTACTCACCGCAAATGTTAACTGAAATATGTGCTTTCCTCTATCCTCCATCTCGCTAAATGTTTTCTTTTACGTTTTCTTCGTCACGTGGCAGGACTCGCTGCCGGCACCGCTATCGGAATTGTGGGTGACTCAGGTGTCCGTGGAACTGCGCAGCAACCTAGATTGTTCGTAGGAATGATTCTAATTCTCATTTTCGCTGAAGTACTCGGGCTGTATGGTATGATCGTAGCTATCATTTTAAATACCGCTACCTCCGGTTTGGACTGTGGTCACGCCGCGTAAAGATTTCTATTAGTAATAAATGTCAGCAAAGACTTCCAGATAGTGTATAAAGTTCTATTTTGATATCGGTGTGAATGATTTGGATTCGTCAGTTGAATGGAGGAATCTTTTTCTCTGAACGGTAATAGTGTGAGCCGAGAACGAAGCTCTGAGCGGCAATAGTGTACAAAGTTATATTTCGACATCGGAGTATGTGATTTGGATTCGTCAGTTGAATGGAGGAATCATGTCCACTGAACGGCTTTCGGAGAGCAATTTTTCCTTTTACGATTTCATGGAAATAAATTTATGGTGAAATACTGAAATTCGACTACGAATCCACCAAAATTTTACAGACCTGTAAAATTTGTGTAAAGCAATATCCAGTGAAACAAATAAAGCACTTCATTTTAGATCTATGCGTGATGATTGAGGAGAAATGAACAAACACTAAAATGTTTGCTGTGCTGTACCTTGTAGGCGGGACGAGCTAATGCCATTATAACGGATGCAGACGACCAAGATGACTACCATTAGCTTTCTAATCAGCTTAATGGTAAAACTCAAGTTATATAAGAGCCTGAAATAAGTGACTATCAAACAGAACTATTTGAAACTACAAACAAGAACGTGAAAATGGTAATGCTATCCACCTCGTTTAATTCTACAACATACGGCTACGACGAAGAAAAGCCGCACGTTACATTCTTCGATACAACGCATCTGACCCCATCTGATGTCAATTTCAGTTCATCACTTTATCAACTTAGAACTGCACCACCGCTACAAAATAACGAACACATTGGATACCAACCCTCTACACACTTGACGAACATAAGTGAAGTAACTCAATCGAGAACTGTAATCCCCACAAGCCCCGATACAGGGCGAAAGTCTCGTCACAGGAGGCCATTTAAGGACCTCTCTCGTGATTTGCAATGCACAGAAGAAGGTTGCGAACGGAAATACGCGTCGAAATCATCGCTATCAACCCACTACCGCCTCAAGCACTCGCCCGAAGCCAAAGCAAAAGAATTTGAACGGTTAGAAGCTATACGGCATAAGTCAGAGGAGAGACGCACACCGCGGCCCGTGCGTCCCCGAGCATCGCCCAGCAATCAAAACCTCGAGTTGATGAGACATAAGAGTGCAGGTAGTACGGTGGGTGTAAGAGATCTCAGCCATCCCTTCTATCCCGTTTCTTACAGCTCGCTCACAAGTCCTGTTAACTCGTATCGTGCCACACAGACACCCCCTCCACAAATGCCCATGAGTTACTTTCAACGACAAATGCTATTCAACACACCGAGTCCTGGACAACCGCAAAGAACCTCGTCATTGTCGTTTTCGCCACCGAACTCAACTCTATACAATCAAATGTCCATGCCAGGGTCACTGCCAAGTTCACAGAGCACCGTACCTATCGATAATTCATTGTTTGCATTCAAAGGGACAGTGGGTGGGTTTTTGTCGGATAATACTGACTTGACAAAGTCGGCGCAAACGCCGCTAGAGGATCAACTACTGCTACAAAGTACCATAGATGAGCTTTGGGAATTGGGATTGGGTACACTGGGTGATCAATTCCTCGTGGACCTCAATCCAAACGCTTGAGGCCTGCTAACATCGATTAGTATTACACACTTGTACCGGGACTTGAATTATGTCTGCTATGCACTCGATATCTCTGAAATGAATAAACGCACAAATTCACTTTTATAATATTACGAAATATATAAATAAAATGAATATTTAGATTTCTCCGACTCAGGACAGAGGCAGACAGACACCCGAGTCCCCACTCCCGACGGGTCGTAATAAATTATATATATTATTTTTATTTATCTTACGGATGTCTATAAAAGTAGATTTGAGAATTTGTAGCATCTGCAGTACGACACAAAATACATACAAAGTTACTACGCATACGCCTATCTTGCGCCCACAGAGGGTTCGTTGATTTCAACACGATGGCAGAGAGTGAAGAGCCTAAACAGCACAACTTTGTGCTTCACTCGTACTATCGGCCTCACTACTGTGCTGTGTGCTCAAAGTACTTATGGGGATTCTCTGGTCAGGTGTGTTTTGACAGTGTTCGTTCTTTAGTGCGGCGTTTGTACTTTGTCTGCTGTTTACACAGCGCTTTATGTGTAATTATAGTAGTCATTATCGATAACGTTAAAATGATTAGCGTGTACCTAGCTACACTGTATGCCTGTTGACTCGTACTCGCAGTTGCATTGCATGTGTGGCTTAAGGAGGCGTTGACACAAAAAATGTAATAGGACACTTGTATTTTGCATATCCAAGCGCTACACTTTGAAGCTACCAATGTGTATTTCTTACTTGCATCAGATACGGGTCATACCAAAGGTTGACTTTCAAAGTAAATGATAAGGTGTAAACTATGGACAGATTACAGTCCAGGGTGATCCCTGTTCTAGTTTGATACAAAAATATATATAGTGCGAAATACACTTCAAACTTCCTACTTAACTGATTCCAATACTAGTCGACCCCTGTGATTGGATCATAAGTATCTGCGTAGCACAAGCGATACTGTACATATATCAGATCACAGACGAAACAACACCGCACCATCACCACCCCCTCTATACTACTTTGTGTATATCTTTTGATACGATATAAACGTAAATACACTTATGATGGTATAAACCTATTATATATATATATATATATATATATATGAATGTGTGTGTGTGTGTATGTATGTATGTATGTATTTATATATATACGTATGTATATGTATATGTATGTATATATGTATATATATATATATATATATATATATATATATATATATATAATATGCAGATACATGTATATATATATATATATATATATATATATATAATATGCAGATACACACACACACACACATATATATATATATATATATATGTATATGTATGTGTATATATAAATATATATATATATCTGTATAAATATATATATATGGATATCTGTATATCGTTATATATATATATATATATATATATATATAT